GGGTTACAGGTGGAATTAGCAGTCATTGTAACATAGCACCTCAAAATGCCAGTGTAAATCGTCCTTGTATTTCCTACTTATGTGATCCTGAGGCAAATTACCCTGCTCAAGACTCAGTTTCCTCTCCTGTGAAATGGATATAAGAATAACACCTAACTCATGAGTATTATGAAGATATCCTAAGACAATGCATTTAGAACAGGGGTGGTTAGTTTTCATTATATGCCAGGCCATGGGTTTCTAATCAGTGCACGAGAGACAAGGTCCCTGCTCTTGAGAAACCTATACCGTAGTAGTTAAAAGTGCACAGGTGAGCAAAGAATTTTAGTTTTTAAGATGTGTTAAACCAGTAACTATTTTTGAGTCATTGCATAGGGGTTCCTGCTGAAGTCTGCAGATTGGCATAACCTGATTCAGTGCCCATGACCTGGCAATTATTGTAAAAAGTGCTCTAAACCCCAACGTATCAGTTCTCCTTAAGTCATTCTTTCGCGTTTTACCATTTGCATTCTGGGGAATCTACAGAACTACACCGAAATGAAAATTAATCTTGCCAGGCTGTCCTATGGCTAGACAATACCACCACTGCTTCCCTCACCCCATACATGTATCCTCAGCATTCAAAGATACCCCCACTAACAGGGATTCCTGAATTAGTTGCCCTTCTCAGGTCCGCACACCTGCTGCAGTACTTATTAAAAGCACCTAGCCCTCTAATCAAGCTACCTCAGATCCTTACTTTTCATATTCTTGTCATGTTAAATTAATGCTCAGAAACCTCTGGCCTACTAGCCAGAAGATTTGTCCCTAATTTTGCAACAGAATAAAGCTTTATTTTTTTCCCCTTGAACATACTATTATCTTATGAGTTCTGATGAGGACAGAATCCTTTTGAAATATTTTTAAACAAGACAAATGTAAAAGCACATACTACAGCCTCAGGCCCACAACAGATGAGCCAGGGTACCTGCTGTTTCTTTCATAGAGATGATTTGCCATTTTTCAGGGCATAGCCCTAAATAACTTAGTTTCAAAGAAGCAACTCTCAACACTGGGAATGGTAATAAAACAGGTACCTATCACTAACGTGCTCTGTAATAACTTGTAGATTTATTATCCAAGAGCTGTAGGGAAGTAGGAGCTAAAGAGGAAAGTGGTAGGCCAGCCTCTCTTCCCTCTAATTGCTGATCATGGCAAAGGCCACTAACCAGCAGACCGACAACATCTCAAGCCCATGTGCAGGTCTTTTTTAAGCTTCCTGGCTGGCATCACTGAGACTCTGCTGGGCCATCTTCCATGTTGCCACCGCTAACCTCCCGTAACCCCAAGGGTTTTATCACCTGCGCACAAGAACACGAGGCCAAACTGGTTAAGCACTTGCTCATTTCCAGGTCTATTCCAGGGCAAGAAAATAAGTGTTAAGGATCTCATTCAGGAATTGTCTTTGCATTTTTTTGTCATAACAGAAACCATGTGGGTGGACAAAGTAAGTGTTTGTACACTGTGCTTTCTTTGTACCACACTATTTTTGAAGCTCCCTCCTCTCTCCCTGCCTGCCCTTTTCTACAACAACCCTGCGTTGTTTCAGTGCTACCTTCCTACACCTTTCAAGTGCCAACAGATGTCAACAGGTGTTCTGGTGGCTAAAAGCAGTCTTTGGGATCAGAGCACCAAACCCAAGGACCTACCACATACCTGGCCAGGTGACCATGTGTTGATGACGAACAGCATCCTTAAAGCAAGACTATTGGGTGGCCAAACAGACCTCCGTCTAGAGACAGGAAGAAATCCAGGCCAGGTGGAGATTCTAAAGAATCATGCCCTCCACCCTCAGTGGTACAAGCAATTACTTCCTCTGCAGGAGAACTGGGACTTACTATAATATACATATATGAAATCATACAACTTTGCAGCTGAAGAAAAACTGACACCTCTAAATGAGTATTTTAAAGCTATTACTTTGGGGAACCTTTATTCTGATTCCAGAAATACCCTGGCATTGCCTTCAATACTCATGACAAATTCTTTTGACTATATTTAGTCGTGGCAAATACCAGTTATTTGAGAGTGGGTGTCATTTTCAGAAACAGCCAGGTCATTCAGAACTAAGAATCACAACATGGGGAAATCAATACTATTTTGGTATGAAAACCAAGGTGCTGGTTACAGTGAAACAAGTAGAATTTCCCATGAAGATGTAAAAACAATTTGAAAAGGTAATTTTAAAAGTGCTCTGAATAATGGCAATGTTGGTGTCAAATAAGGCATATGCCAGCAAGGTGACAAACTCTGAAGAGGTTATTAACGTGGATGCACAGCCGGCCCTCCATATCCATGGGTTTTGTATTCACAGATTCAACCAACTGTGGATTGAAAACGGTTAATTTTGACCTATGGCTGGGAATCTGTGCATGCAGGGGCCGACTGTATGCATTGTTGAATGCCATCTTATATACGGGACTTGAGCATCTCTGGATTTGGAATCCACGCGGAGATGCATGTTGGGAACCAGCTCGCCATACCACGGGATGACATTCTGGAGTCTCAGTACGCCATTTTCACAATCACTAGGCAACATTTATAGGCAACAGACACACCTAGTAGAAATCTCACTTCTGAGTCTTGGGCAGAAACTCTTAAAATAAAAATGCATTCTTAGCTTCAGTTAACTGGTCTTCATGTCTGCAGAGCAGGGGCTAAGAGCTAGTGACACTACATACAACTCTCCAGTCTATTAGGAACATCTACTAATACATAATCCAGCTGTAGGAAAAAGTGCACTGGGGGGGTCAGGGTCTCCTACTCTCTAGGAGTGTTCAATCTAAAATAGGCATACTGACCTGGGCACATGTTTATAATATTAATAACAGCCCTACTTACCCCTCAGTAGCCCTCTTACTACAGGTGTTTTGAACTTTCTTAGTATAATATATATTTGTATCAACTCAATGACATTTTTACTATTTTGACTTTGTATTACTATTTTTATCCCTATCCTCCATATGAGAGAACTGAGCCAGAAAGATGTTGCCCAAGACCAAACAGTAAACTGCAGAGCTGAGATTGGAAACGTGGCAGTCTAGCCCCAGCTATGCTCTAACAATACATTATACGGCACCATACTGCCTCTATGAGACATAAGAAAACCAGATACATTAATCAAATACTCAAGAGGAAAAAGGACAATAAGGAATACTTCAAATTTATGGGAAGCCCCTTTAAGAAGTAGAAACGAGGGGGGTGAAGTGAGGCAGAAGGACCGGAGTTAGCCAAGATGAAAGCCACACAGAGCAGCCACAAGAGTTCATGGGCAGCCTCGGGATGGGCAAAAAGGTTTTGTTCTGATTTACTTACAGAAAAGAATAGGCAGCTATAAAGACACGGGTGTTTTGAAGAACCTGTTTCTGGCACTGTTTCCTGTATATTAGGTTCTTCCTTAATTACATAAAAGTCACATAACGCAGGATTAGTAAAAATAAAACTCCACAACACTGTTAACATGACAGTTTTTATATCCAGCCCACATCACTTTGTGAACTTTGTTGGCTAGTAAACAGATATGCTTAATAAATAGAAGTAAACTTTTTAACACTAGGCAGGATAAGCCTACCTAGCAATGATCTACCTAGTATCTCCAAGGAAGCTTTTAGAACTCACTACCCTTAAAGAGGGAATATGTGTGAAAGGAGATCAAGTGAAGGAGCCCTTGAGGTGTCTTCCCTTTATTACAGACAGCCAATGCCTCCCCAAACCTAACCTAACAGAAGTGGAAACTGAGTCCCACGAAGCGTAAAAGACTTGGATGAAGGTCCTCTTGACTCCAAGTCGAGTGTTCTTCCCACTTCTGCAGATTGATTCTACCCTCTTCCTTGTAACCATTCGAGGCAAACGACACAATACTGACTTCAAAGCCATTCAGAGAAGGTGAACACACACCAACCCTATAGGGGAAAGAATTCCTTCATCACAACTTCCTCTTGCTTTTAGTTTAGCCCGGTTTCCTCTCCCTGGGCCCTTGAGAGGTGTCCAGAAAACATTATATGAGTTAACGCTCCGAAAATTTGCAAAGTATCAAATGAATGAAGGAACAGGCACTCTCAGGGCGCCGTACCTTATTATTTCCGGCTGGGGCAACAAGGAATTTAGGTCCCTGTTAAGCAGCGAACCGTCCTCGCAGCCTACTTATCCCACAAAGCCTAAGCCCGCCAGCGAGGCGCACGGGAAGTTCGGCCGCCAGGCCGGCCATACCTACTGCAGGTCCCCCGCCGAGGTGAGAGGGATTCGCGGAAGCCCGCCCAGCGGGGAGCAGCCGATTCCCCGGGCTCCATGCGCGTGGGGATGCTGGGTCCGGCCCAACTACTTCCTCCCTTCCGAGCCCACTGCCAACCTTGTCACCCCCACCCACCCGGTCAGCGCTGCTCAGCCTCGCAGGTCGCCGATCCCCTGCCCCTCACCGCCCCACCTTCCACGGCACCGCGAGGCGCGGTCACGTGAGGCGGGCCCGTAGAACCAATGGGCAGCCAGCGCCGAATGGAAAAGATTGTCTGACCCCCATTGCGTCACAGAGCTGGCCCGACGCGCGCCGCTTTTTCGCCCTCCCGCCTCGCCCCGTTCTCCTCCTCCCCGCCCCCCCGCCGCTGCGCAGCCAATCGCGAGAAGGGAAGCGACCCGGCTGGAACGCGCGGGCGGGGCGGGGCAGGGTGGTGGCTGGCTGGGTGGGGGCGTGGGCGCAGAGTGGGCCTACTGGGGGAGAGGAGCCGTGCTCCAGCGAGTTGCATCCGCCGGTGTGGACGGAGTGTTGGGTGGTGCAGTAGCCGCGGTCGTCTCCTTGCGAAGAAGCGGCTTTTCTGCCGTGCCCGGTTCGTATTCACTGGTCCGGCCCCAGACCACCCCGTCTGAATCCTCCACCCGCCGAGTTGTGAAGGGGGCTGCCGGCGCGTGGGGCGCGGCGGCCGCGAGCGTGGGGTGGGAAGACAGGAGGCTGGGGCTAGGGAGGGACAGGCCCCGGAGCTCCCAGTGCACGCGGGTCAGGGGAGCAGCGAGCAGGCTGGCGTGGCGGCGCTAGGGGGGCGCCACGGACTCGGGATGGAGGCGGCCGCGCGCGCCCGCTGTCAGTACTAGGACGCTGTGGAGACCCGCGGAAGGGTGAGCTCCGGGAAGGTGAGGCGCTGGCGGTGCGTCGTCTGTGCCCGAGTTTCCCCTTACACACATCACGGGGTCCAGGGTAAATCCACGGAAGCCCGCCGTGGGCTGCCACTGGTCTGGACCGACGCCGTGGCCGCGTGTGGCTGGGCGAGTAGCGGGCGGAGGATACAACGAGCCGTGGGCGCCGCGCTCGAGCTGGATGGAGGGGCCGTCCCGGGGCGCGCCTCTGCTCGCGTTTGGCCGCCCCCGCCCCCCATCCCTGGGCTGTGGCTCCGCTTTTCCCGCGACGTGGGTTGGTTTATTTGGTTTCCTTCTTGTCCCCACCCCTTTCCCCATCCATCCTCTTCCGCCCCCTCCCAGCCCAGCCCCTTTCACCAGGCACCGAGGAGACCTCGCCCCTCCTCCCTCTCCTCCCTCCCTCCGCCCGGCTTCCTCCTCCTCCCCCGCCGCCGCCGTCTCTAATGAGCATCTCTGCCTTGCTTTCAATGGGCCGGTGCTGCTGTCGCTGCTGCTCACCGCGCGGGTTGTGGATGTTGTCGGCTCCGTGTTGTGATGACAGGAGAATGTGTGTGTGTCCCGGGCCCAGACGAATTGGTAGGTATTCATTTTACCTGCGTTGGATACCCAGGAAGGATGGTGACTGATTCTGTGTGTGGATGGTTTTAGGTGGGTTGGTGTGGAATTAAGGGGCGAGGTAGATAGAAGAGAGGACAAAGGCTTCCTGGACCGGATAGCTTTGATGCCTTGGTGACTTCAATTTCCTGGTAGGGACAAAGAGAACTAGTCAAACAAGTGCTGGCTTGAGGCTTTATGTCGTCCGAAGGAAACCGGTTTTTTCATTCTTGGAGCGATAACGGGAGCTGTGAAACGGCTAGGCAGTTCCAGAAAATGCTGAAAAATCGCAGTCTTCATGCAAGATGTTTAATGCAATCGGGTTACATAAACTGAGGTTCTGACACATTTAATAACTAGTATAGCATTTTTTTCCCATTTAAACCAAAAGCTTTGTAAAACTAAAGAGCTCCAGAGTCGGTGCGGTGACAGCATTTTCTAATTAATTTGTTCGGTGAGTTTATTGAAGTGGAATCATTTCCTGGCACAGGCTCTGCCGAGCACATCAGTAAGAATGGGTCTCTTTCCAGTTTCTGGTTGGAGCACATCTTTTCTTATTAGTCATTGGCAAAATCAGCCCCAGACGAAGATGCTGTATATAATGTGGCTCAGTCTGGATGATGGGATAGGAACTTTTCAGTGAAAACATGATCAGAAATAATTTGAAAATTTGACACTGCTCCAGTTTACCGGCAACTGTACCTTGTTGTTATTCTTGGCTTATCAAGAACTTTCTGTTTTATTTAGCTAATTCAACAAAAGTTGTTTTCATGGGGGTTTTTTGTTGTTGTTGTTGAGTCATCTAATATGTAGAAATACTCAGAGTTTGCTTACTTACGGTTTCTGAAAACATTTGAAGTATTTTGACTTCTAAGGGTATCTGATCTGATGGAGAGACTATATCTCGTGTACTGGTGATGACAGGACTCTCATTAATCACAGAGCAGGGTTTTAATGAATTTCAACTTCTCTAAGAATGTGTCTTTTTTTTTTAAGAATGTATCTTTTAAAGGCATGTTTGGAGTTGGAAGATTAGGATGCAATCTTAGTCCATATGCTAAACTAAATAAGTGAAAGATACCATTGATAAAATTCATCCTCTGCTTTTTTGTTTTCAATCTTGAGAATCTTTGCTTTGGAGGAAGAATGTAGTATGTTATTTGAGCATATCAGCGCTTGCTGTTTGAATGTACCATATTAGTCCAAGCATTTGCTGCATGACTCAGTTCTTTTGCAATAATATTTCATTCATTTTGCAATCAACTAAAAAAAAGCATAAAATTTTTCAAAACAAAGCAATGTAAGGAAAGTGCAGGTTTGCTGGACTTGTTATTCCTTGATTAGACATCATACAGGGTGGGACAAAAGTAGGTTTACAGTGAGTATGGGAAACACAGTTTATTCTTGTATTACTACTAATTATTATTTCCCATATGAACAACTGTTCACCTATTTTTGCCCCACTCTGAATAATGAAATCTTGTTCTATATCTATCAGACACTTTTTTCCAAACACAGACAAGACACACAGTATTTTGATTGAATCTACATTCCATCAGACACACTCATTTTTTTTCCTGTAAGATTCTTAAGTTTTAAAGTAAGCACAAATACAAACTTATGTAAAGTTATGGAGAAGCTTTCTTTTCATTAAGATTGGCATCTGTTTATATTTTTAATAATAGAAAATCTTTATACAGAGCATGGTATAAGTTAATGTGCTTTCTGTGTGCAAACCTGACAGGAGATATGGTTTGTCTGGAAACCAGTGTCATGTGGCCCAACATTTGAGCACATCTCCTGGCTCAGTCATGTATACTTAACCTTTGGATGACTTTCAGGTATTCAGTCTGAAGTGCTATTATTTAAGTGGTTAGTGTTGCTAGATTACTCTTATGGAATTTCTATTTTTTATTACTGGATTTCAGAATGCTTATTTAATTATTGATCTTATTTCCAAAATTCTGATCATTACCTTTTATTGCTTAATCTTGTCTTTCACTTTGTAAACAAATCCCCACTTAAAGAGTACAGTTAAAATGATACTTCCTACCACTTGCCAGAGGGGTTCTGTATAACTGGCTTATGCGGTAGTTATTACAGAAGCAAATAACGATCAGTTATTATTCAGTGTTTGTTTTTCTCTGCTCCCCCACAATGCACTTACCACTTTTTCTCTAATTACTCTTCAAAAGAGGGGATGCTAAAATAATGTAATATATAGCTAACACTCTGTGATACTCATAATTTTTTTACTTCTTAATGAGTTTAACCTTTGGAAGGAGTAGCTGATACAAAGATTCACTTGGTTTTATTTTCCTTCTTTTTGTTTACTGTATTTCCTTAATTAAAGCATTTGTAAAGCCGCTTTGTTTATAGGCCAAATGAATACCTTGAGGCAATACCTTAAGAATTCCGGGGAAATATTATTAAGGAAGAAAGAAGATATTTTTCTTGCATAAATTATCTTAAACATTTTTATCATGAAGGACACTGTAAAATTAAACAATGAATAAATGGAACCTGCATTTGATTTTAAAGCCTCACTTCAACAAACACTTACAAAGGCTTGAAGTCCTAGAAGAAGCCTTAGATAGAGTCTGTTCTGATGTGTTCAATTACAACTTAGGAAAGCGAGACCCTACGAGGTGAACTAGCTTTTACAGGATTAATTTGGCAAGTTGGTGGAAGACCTATGTCCCTAAGCTCACCAAATTGGTGCAGTGGTCTAGGAAACATTGTTTGCAAGACCATTCACTGGGGTATGGAAAGGTAATAATGACATTTCTTTTTATTAATAATGTAAAATTTTTTGTGTATGTTATAATGAACATTGTATTAATACAGTAGTATGCGTGTATAACTTAAAAGTAGTGTATGAATATACTTAAGTTGGGGATGCATCCTAACACTTTCTTGGTCATAGCCATGCTGACAACTGACCACAGGTCTAGAAATAGGGTGTTCATAAATGGGGAAAGTCCTTGAGCAATATGAGAGATACAAAATCTTTTTTAAGGATATAAAGGGAGAAGAGTGATTGGCCAGGTAGATTGCCACTGCATAATATTATGTAACATTCATCTCCTCAGGTCTCCCCAGCTAAATCTATTATACACTGTGCACAGTTTGTGCTACACAAAGAAGTATGAAAAGAGAAAAAAGTAAAGCTGGACTACCTTTCAATCCTGGCTCCATAAAGGATTGGGAAGCGCTCAACAGAATATACCCTACAGAAATAGTACATGATATGGGTATAAAATATAGTGCCTCCTAGCACAGGGCTTAGTAAATAGAGTCACCTGCTAAATATTTGCTATAAAAGCAAAGGTAGGTTAAGTTATCTGAAGTATAACTTTTTCTTTGTGTGTACCTGTGTAATTTGCATTGTAGGAATCCCAGTCCGAAGTTCCAGCCTGCCACTATTCTCTGATGCCATGCCAGCACCAACTCAGCTGTTTTTCCCTGTGATTCGTAACTGTGAACTGAGTAGAATCTATGGCACTGCGTGTTACTGCCACCACAAACATCTCTGTTGCTCACCCCCTTTCATTTCTCAGAGTCGCCTGAGGTATACACCCCATCCAGCATATGCTACCTTTTCTAGGCCAAAGGAGAACTGGTGGCAATACACCCAAGGAAGGAGGTATGTTTCTACACCACAAAAATTTTACCTCACGCCTCCACAAGTCAACAGCATCCTGAAAGCTAATGAATACAGTTTCAAAGTGCCAGAATTTGATGGCAAAAATGTCAGTTCTGTCCTGGGATTTGACAGCAATCAGCTACCTGCAAACGCACCCATTGAGGACCGGAGAAGTGCAGCAACCTGCTTGCAGACTAGAGGAATGCTTTTGGGGGTTTTTGATGGCCATGCAGGCTGTGCTTGTTCCCAAGCAGTCAGCGAAAGACTCTTTTATTATATTGCTGTCTCTTTGTTACCCCATGAGACTTTGCTAGAGATTGAAAATGCAGTGGAGAGTGGTCGAGCACTGCTACCCATTCTCCAATGGCACAAGCACCCCAATGATTACTTCAGTAAGGAAGCATCCAAACTGTACTTCAACAGCTTGAGGACTTACTGGCAAGAGCTGATAGACCTCAACACTGGGGAGTCAGCTGATATTGATGTTAAGGAGGCTTTAATCAATGCTTTCAAGAGGCTCGATAATGACATCTCTTTGGAGGCTCAGGTTGGTGATCCCAATTCTTTCCTCAACTACCTGGTCCTTCGAGTAGCATTTTCTGGGGCCACCGCTTGTGTGGCCCATGTGGATGGTGTCGACCTTCATGTGGCCAATACTGGCGATAGCAGAGCCATGCTGGGTGTGCAGGAAGAGGATGGCTCCTGGTCAGCAGTCACTCTTTCTAATGACCACAATGCTCAGAATGAAAGGGAAGTGGAAAGGCTGAAATTGGAACATCCAAAGAATGAGGCCAAGAGTGTGGTGAAACAAGATCGGCTGCTGGGCTTGCTGATGCCTTTTAGGGCTTTTGGAGATGTAAAGTTCAAATGGAGCATTGACCTTCAAAAGAGAGTGATAGAATCTGGCCCGGACCAGCTGAATGACAATGAATATACCAAGTTCATCCCTCCTAATTATTATACACCCCCTTATCTCACTGCTGAGCCAGAGGTAACCTACCACCGATTAAGGCCACAGGATAAGTTTCTAGTTTTGGCAACTGATGGGCTGTGGGAGACAATGCATAGGCAGGATGTGGTTAGGATTGTGGGTGAGTACCTAACGGGCATGCATCACCAACAGCCAATAGCTGTTGGTGGCTACAAGGTGACTCTGGGACAGATGCACAGCCTGTTAACAGAAAGGAGAGCCAAGATGTCCTCAGTATTCGAGGATCAGAATGCAGCAACGCATCTTATTCGCCATGCTGTGGGCAACAATGAGTTTGGGACTGTTGATCACGAGCGCCTCTCCAAAATGCTGAGTCTTCCTGAAGAGCTTGCTCGGATGTACAGAGATGACATTACAATTATTGTAGTTCAGTTCAATTCTCATGTTGTAGGGGCATATCAAAACCAGGAATAGTGAATGAATCTTATCCTGGAGATTCCCAAGCGAAATAGATTTAAAGGATAGATAGATATTTTTTAATTTATTTTTTTTTATTATTATTTTTATCCTCAGCCGAGGACATTTTTTTCATTGCTTTTAGAGATAGAGGAAGGGAACGGAGGGGGGGCGGGGGGAGAGAAACATCAGTTGGTTGCCTTCATATGAGCCCTGACCAGGGATCGATGACCAGGGATCAAACCTGCAAACCTGGGTATGTGCCCTGACCAGGAATCAAACCTGCAACCTTTTGGTCAACGGGAGAACACTCCAGCCGAGTCACATGGGCCAGGGCAGGATAGATAGATTTTTAAAAGATACTAAAATAATAAACATTTACAGTGGCCATTCTAAACATTTACCCATTTGATCTTCTAGCTAGTTGTGAATCCAATTGACTTGGTAGTAGGGCGGTAGGATAATGAGAGTGTCACCGTCTGGCTCGGACCTCACAGTGCCTGCACTTGAGGCAAGTCTGTTCCTTATTGCAAATGTCATGTGACATTGGGTTGTATCAGTCTGAGAAAATCAGGAGGACTTGGCAAGTGAGATTTCGAATAGGTCAAAGGCAAGAATCTTGCTGGGTGTGTTTTCTTGGTAAAAGAAACATTACTGTTTACACTTACAGGCTCATTTTGTCACTAGGATTCCAGTGTACATGAGAGTATTTATTGCATGATTTGCTACATATACAATCTATGCATTATTCATATAAATCTGTTTCATCCTGAGGTTTTCAAATGCAGTACTTTTAAGCCATAAATGACTAAGAACCAAGCAATCTGAATTTGTGTTTGTTATTATTTGGAATGCTTTTGAAATGGGGTAAACAAACTATTTCCTTTACCCAATTACCTAATATCATTGAGACATTCTATGTTGCCACACACTTGAAGACAATAAAGATTTTTAGTTTTATCTACTCTTATATTGATGTTAAATAAAAAAAAAAGAATGTTTTTTAGTTTGTATTAATGAAAAGCTTTATTTAGTTTGAAATAAAAAGATCTAGAATAAAAAGAGATGGATATGTTCAACTCTTGTCCTCTGTAGACACCAGCACGTCATTCTTAGTAATTCTTGAAGGTTTGGCATGCTGTAATATGTGGGTGGTAGACTGCTGCTTGTATATCATACTTCTAATTTCATAGTGATAATTTCATCACTTGGAATTTTAAGGATAACAAATTAAGTTTATCAATTTGGGGAGTAAGGCTTACTTTCAGGCATTGAGACAAGGGAGAAAGTTTTTGTTTTTCCCCACTTAGACATAGGTCAATTAAAATATTTGGTTTAAAAATTACTAAATGCTTTAAACATAATGTAGCTTATAAATAGGGATGTTGAGCTATACACATGAGAAATCTTAAAAGGTAACTATTTTGCATGCCTGGTGCTTAATAGAACACTTAGTAGTATCAAGTGTTATTTGCAGCAGTCTCCATAATTATATGCAGTCTCTTCTAATGCCATATCAAAGTAAATGAAAGTAAACATATTCAAATTGGCTTTTTGGGATTTACTTGATTTGCATCAAATGGTGTTTTGTTCTTGTGTTCAATGGTGATCTCTGTACAGCTCTGCATATATTTTCATCATTTATTCTAGCAACACTTAAAAGAATGACTATAACTATGATGTTCATATAGATTTTAATACAAAACAATTATCTTTCCCTTGTGTAATTAGTTGAGGGGTGTTTAGGAGTCCTTTCAGATTTCTGTAGAATGTGTACTGGATAGTCAAGGACTCCCCATGGACTGGACACTAAAGCACCATAGAAGTGACTGCAAAATGTTTCCAGCTGAAAAATAGACTCGGGCAGACTGCAGCTCAGAATATCAAATGTTTCTTTTCTGAGGTCTTTCCCCCTCATTTTTTGTTTGTAGTTTGTTTTTCTTGTTGTTGTTTTTCCCTTCCATCAGCTTGGAGCTTTTCTTCCAGGCAGCATTTTCAAGGGAGGGAAGGCTGTACTATATATTTATTTCTAAATGTTTTGACAGAGACTTTTTAAAATGAAATATATATAGACTGCAGTAGCAGTTGAAACCCATTTTTAGGCTACTATTTGAATTTCTCTTGAGTGCCACCCTGAAGAGTTCCATCATATTATTATATACTTAAAAAGTCTCATCTCTGCATAGTGCAATAAATATAAATTTAGTTGCCAGTGGTCATGATCAACACAGTAATTCTTATTATTACACAAGAAACTTGGTCTGCAGTCCAAACGCTGGTCTACTCCAGAATGAAAAAACAGTGTGGAGTGTAAATTGTTGAAATGAAAATAATTGGATGTTAGAAATCTGAATGTACTATCATCTGAAAGCACTTGTGATTTTATTGTAATTTGTTGTCATTGTGATATTATATATGTAGAATTAAAGAAGACATGTAACCTTTCATTGTTTAGCCTTTCTTAAACATTTTCTTATTATTTAAACTTTCTAACAATATGTATTGATTTCTGTATTTATATTTAATCAATGGCTCATGATATTTATACTATGCCCTTAACTAGTTAAATGGAATGGTGGTGTGGTACACAGTACTTGATAGAAAAACTGTCTTTTATAAAATGTATCTGTGTGAAGACATAAGAAAAGTTTATAATAATAGAGAATGGTCAGAGAAATGCCCACAGAGAATTAAAGTTTCATATCTGCTTTCTGAATGCCCTGTGTTGGTTCTTTAAAATTTATTGGGGTAACATTGGTTAATACCATTATATAATTTTCGTGTGCAAGATTTCAACATGACATCTGTACTATTGCATGCTTGCCACTCAGAGTCTTAATTTTTCTTCTCTTACCACATATTTGACTCCCTTTAGCCACTTTGCCCTCTCCTCACCCCCACCATCCTCTGGTAACCATTCTGTTGTCTATATGTGTTGGTTTTTAATAATAGTAAGATGCATTAGATTCTCTCTATGGTGGTACATTATACTTAATTTTAAAATCCAGTAGACAGAACTTTATTAAAACCTGAGGTATAATTTCCATTCAGTAGCATGCACATATTTTGAGAATGTCATTTGCGATTTGGTGACCACGATCACAATAAAGATAAAACTTCCATTATTCCAGAAAATTCTCTCACACCCCTTTCTAGTTAATTCCTCTCCATATTATCTATTGTTCTGATTTGTATTGCCATAGATTAGTGTTGCTCGTTCTATAAATTCATATCAATGAAATTGTAAATATGTGCTCTTGTGACTGCAATTTTTTAAGATTCACTTATATTGGTATTCATAGTCTCCATTTTCAAGTAGCATTTCATAGTATGAGTATATCATAATTTATCCATTGTTGATAAGCATTGTTTCTTTCCACTCCCCTTTTAAAGGTAACTTTTAGATCAGGAATTCTCAGAAATACTCCTTGGTTGAAGTGTAGTTTTAACTTTGCAAATACAATTACAGCTGAGTGTTACCTTCTGTACTTTAAAGGGAGGAATTTTTTTTTTTTAATGCCCTTTCAACAGGCGATGAAATTTTTTCATGGTGAAAAGTTTGGAAGGATTAGAGTGTGGTTCTTTGCTATAGACCTCTCTGTACCTCTCCCACCGAGAATTTTATTGAGTTAATTAAATGTATTAAATGATTGAGCTAATGTCTTCCTATAACAAAAAGGGCAAACTACACCTTGTTTTTTGATAGTCTTGTTTTATCACTATCAGCCATTGCTCTATATTTAGGGATGAGGAAGAAAGCGGCTTGATGCTGACTATTGAAGGGACTGATATGGCATGACTGATGAGTTTTTCTACTTTTATTAAACAAGATTCACACTATGGAGAACGAGCTTCCCTGTTCTCTAGTCAAATATGCCTAAATGTGGGTTATTTTTAGCTTTGTCCTTAGGTATAGCAAGAGTGTCTAGGTAACTGTGTATCCTTTGCCTGTAGGTTAACATACCTTAATTCTGACCTTTTTCATAAATAATGAAACAGTTGCTGTTTCAGATCTTCAAAAGCTGAGTCCTGGACAAGCTGGGCAAATGACATCTTGATGGCGTGTGAACTGACTTGTTACATACAGTATGAAGGTCATTTCCTTTGTTCCTTTCAGAATTTACTCTGAAAGTCAAGCTTAATCCCATTACTGTATTTTGCCATGTATAATGCGCACATTTTTGCCCAAAACTTTTGAGGGGGAAATAAAGATGCATGTTACACATGGGTAGTACTAATTCAAATTGTATAATGCAAATTCTACATGGGAATTAGCACTAAAATGTGGGTGCATATTATACACAGTGCATTATATGCAGCAAAATACAGGAAACCCTGTCTGCCTGACATGACAAAATTTATACCTTGGATCAAACCCTAACAATATACAGCATTGTTTGCTAAATAGCTCTCAAATTATAAGCCTTCAAAGTGAGTATATTAAGAATGGTGAAATTCATGCATTTCATGTGCCATCAATGATTATCCAGTGCATATATTTTAAAGATTCGTGCTCAGTCATTTAGGTTCATAAAATATGCCAATATCTGGTTTTAAATAGTTGTAATAATTTTTGAAGTTTATCTTGTTTATCCATCAAAATTTTCAGTATTTAAAGGGCAGGCCCCTTTACTTTTGTTTCTTGTATCAAACAATATTAAATAAAATATGTTAAGTATTTCACATTAGAGACATAAATAACTTAAAAAATTAAGTGAATTTTAAGAAATCCTCTCTTTTGTTCATCGGATATTAACATCTCAATCCAGATGCAAAGAAATAATTTATTCCTGTAGCTGTAGTTTTATTATATAGTTAAGATTTTATGAACTAATTTTTTGTTGTTGCAAAGATCTAATATTTAAAAGGAAAGCACTAAAGTACCAGTATACAAATTGGCCCCTTCACAGGTTTAGCCCCTCCCCAGGGGAAATGGCTTCCTCCATGTTCCTTGACTCAATTATCAAGTGAGTCAGTTCAACACAAGCAAATTCAAGTCTCACAGTAAAGCTTAGCTAAGTGATCCCCCATCCAATTCTTGACACCCCGCTACAGTACCCTGAAGCTCCTACTGCACAGAATGGAGAAAGTTCTTTGAAGACCCATCAAGAACTGAAGGAGTTATTTGGAAGTATCTGGCACCTAGCTCCAAAAGGACAGTATTTCATCTTGGTTCACTTTACTACCCCAATAGAGGGTAGTAAAGACCCATTTAAGACCCTGCCCTACAGTCTCACTTGTGTGCCTTTCTAAGCCATACCTGTCTATCACTGACTTTCTGCCTGCAGCATAGACTCTAGCAGACTGCACAATCAAATTTTACTACAGTGCAAGGAGGTCAGCGATCACATTCAACCTTGTAGAAACCTCAGACCTTGGGTGCTGAGCAACAAACAAGTAGCCAAGAAGAGTCAAAGAACCAAAGATTTTATCTGATTAATCGGTTTGTCTCCCTGAAGGACAGGAACAGTTTGGTTGGCAGTATTGACTGAAGTCAGCCTTCTAGCATGAAAGCTGTGAAGAATGGGAAATGTGAAACCTGAGGGCGCGGGTGGGGGGAAGAAAAGCTAGAGAAGGGAGAGGAATGGTCTTGGCAATGTCAGTAATCATTAAAGGCAGTAATGCGGGCAGGGAGCATCAGATACTCCTAAGGCCTTGGACCAGTGACAGGAATGAAAGCAAAGCAGAGGACAGACAGCAGCAAGCTGAATAGTGGTGAGGTAAAAAATTTGAAACATTTTTAACTTCTCATGAAATTGTGTACTTTATGTTAAGGCAGCGGCAAGACAGTTTCCATTAGTAAGGACATTTTGTCTCAGCTCTAGATAAGAGGGAAAAGGGAAGTCTTTGAGACTGCACATATGGAATAGGATCTGTGGTGCCTAGATGGACAGTTTCCTTAAAAGAACTTTGCTTAGAAATTATTTTTTCTGACTTCAAACCTAGAGACAGGTTAAACAGTCTGGCTTGACAAAAACAGATTGCATCACTAAAGCCCTGGTATTAGAAGAAACAACAGTGAGCCTGAACACAGGGCGCGTGTTTGTAAAGCAAGGCCTTGCACCCATGAAATCAGTTTCCTGTAGCTCTTGCTTAGAGGGGCCAGGATGACATCCAGGTATAACCAAGCCTTGCAGCCATTGTAATACTAAGAGTAACCACAACTTTTTCTTGAGCACTTAACTATGTGCTAGGTCCTGTGGAAAGGGCACCATATACATTTTCTTAATTCTCATGCGGGCTATGTTCTGGCCCCTCAGCCCCTTCTTGAAGCTGTCTCTACGCTGCTCTGTTAGGAAGCTGAACCCCGCAGGTTGTACCTCGCAGGTTCACTTGCCTTCCTACTGCCATTTCTGTTCAACCAATGTGTAACACCAGCAGGCGGTGGGAGGGGAGCAATACCAGGAAATTTCTTCCTTATTCCCTCCGTGCCTCTGGCTCCATCTCCAGCCTTAGCTGAGTCCTTCCACACTATAATGCCTTGGTTGGGGGGGACCCTCTTCCCCATTCTAGTTCTCAGTCGCTCAGGTAATACTGTTCCTCCCTTTGTCCTTCCAGCCTTCAGGATGGTAATGGCTTCCTACTGTTGCTTCTCTCTGGGTACCCCAACAACCCTTGTTTGTTCCCTCATCCTTGCTCCCACCTCTGTAGGTAATCCATGTATTTGAACAATCTGGCCAAAATTAGTTTCCTGCCAGGACCTTACCAATGCAATGCTCAAAACAAACTTGAGTGTTACCTCCCCTATTTTACCGAGTACATAGAGGTGGGATCACTTTTGCCCTGTCACACACGAAGCAAACCCATATCTCTGGCAAAGCCTGCCTGTTTAATCGCCGCATCACACTGCCTGGCCTCTCCGTGTAACCAGATGACCCCTTTGGAATCTAGATGACCTGAGGACTATCAAGTGGCCAATGAAAAAGTGACCCGTTGAGAAGCAGAAGCAAAGATCCTCAGAAGAAGTAGCAAAGATTAGCAGTTAGTCTAGCACGAGGGAAATAGAGCCGCCCGCAGATGGAGGGAGTGCGCCAGGTGAGGACATAAATGGAATTGTAGTTTTATAGATTAGAGCCTGAGGTATCTAGTTTAGCAGTGCATTGCAATGTCCAAATATGTAGTTTCTCAGTTCCCCAGTTCATTTGTTGAAATACTTATTGAAAATTTACTAAAACCTGGGCACTGAGGATAGGTGTTGGGGGTAAAAAGTACAGGCTGCCTTCAAGTTCACCATTTGTTTGGGAAGACATGTGAAAACATACCCTTAAGGGGTTAAGAATGGTTCAGAAATTGAAACAAGTATAAGTTCCAACAGTATGGAAAATAGAGCGATTAACTCCTCCCTTGTGTGACACAGGGACAAGGCAAGCCCTGGAAAGTCAAGGAAATTTCATTAGAAGAAGCAATGCATGAGCAGAGATTTGAAAGGTGAGAAGTTTGCTAGGCAGAAAAGGACCCAGGAATGATATTCCTGGAAAAGGAGAGCATATGTCAAGGCACAGAAACATGAAACCATATTGTGTGTTTGAAGACCTGAGTATCGTTTACATGACTAGAACATACACTGTGAGGCAGAAAGATAGGAACAGCAGAAAAGAGCCTGAAGTAAATACAAAGTGACTGCAGCACCCCTGTATCCAGCATACCTTTGAAGACAATTATTTGAGAAGGCACAGACCAGCTAAGACAATCATGGTATGCAAGAGTTGGGGGCAGGGATGCAAGGAAGAAGTACAAAGCAAGGTCAGACAGAACCGTGTCAGGCTGAGATCTGGCTTCTAGCCATTCATAGGTGAGAGATTTGACAAATTCTAAATAAGGAGGATTGGTGGTTGAGCAAGAGAACATCTCTGTGATTTATATATTGCCATTAGCCATTCATGTGTCTACAGTCACATATAGTAACCTGGTATGTAAACCTACTATGTTTAGTTGAGACACGGTCATATTTTTATTTCAATTTCTTGGTTACCACATAGCACACAATTGCTGAGCTCTACTCAGGTATGGGGCAATCTGACAACTGAACTTGGGTAAACTAACCAGTCACCCTTCAAATTCTTGGACAATATCTCAATCAGATTGTCAGCCACCAGTTGGTTCAGTCAAATCTAGCAAGTGTTTATTGGGCTTCTTCATTATTTTATGGGTTTGGGATATGTGGTAACCAGCCTCCA